AGCTCTGGCTTAGGGCTCATACTTTTTCACTAGGCCCTTGATGACATGTTTAACTTCTTAAAATTGGAGGGCACTGCAAACAGATTCTGCTGCAGGGATTGTTACAGCAACTGTGTACACACCTATATGCATTCTTGATAATTGCCATTCTGACTGGAGTCAGATGAAATCTCAAAGTAATTTTTGATTTGTACTTACCTAGTTGCTAGAGATGTTGAACATTTTTTTCACATATTTATTGGCCATTTGTGTTTCTATTTAGGGAAATGTCTAATTCTTTTGCTCATTTATTCATTGGGTTATTTGTTTAGTTGGTGTTAAGTTTGAGTTCTTTATATATTCTAGATATTAATTCTCTGTCAGAGGAGCAGCTGGCAAAGATGTTCTCCCATTCTGTATGCTCTCCACAATCTTAAATAATTTCCTTGGCTGTGCAGAGATTTACTTTTTTTAACTTGATGGCACACCACTTATTGATTTTGGTTTTATTTTTTGAGTTTTAGATGTCTTGTTAAGAAAATCAGTGCCTGCACCAATATGCTGGAGTGTTGACCTTATGTTTTCTTATAGCAGTAGCAAATTTTCTGCCTATGATCCATTTTGATTTGACTTCTGGGCAGGGTGAGGGATAAGGATCTAGTGTCATTCTACATATGGATTTCCAGTTTACCCAACACCATTTGTTAAAAAACATATCTTTTTTCAACATATATTTTTTGGCACTTTTGTCAAGTATCAGCTGGTTATAAGTATATGAGTTTGTGTCTTCTGTTCTGTTTAGTTTCATTCCATTGTAGTCAAACACATTCTAACCCTGGCATAGTGGTACACACCAGTAATCCCAACTGCTTGAGAGGCTAAGGCAGGAGGGTCACAAGTTCAAAGCCAGCCTCAGCAACTTAATGAGGCCCAAGCAACATAATGAGATTTTGTCTCTGAATGAAATATTTAAAAAGGACTAGGGATGTGGCTCAGTGTTTAAGCACCCCTAGGTTCAATTCTGCTCCCCCCCCAAAAAAAAAAACCACTTTCTATGTGATTTCAGTTTTCTGACTATTCATTGTGACTTGCAGGTTGATTTTTGTAAATATTTAATGTACAGGTGAAAAGACTGTGTATTCTACAGTTGTTTCACTTTTTATATCATTAATGATTTTTTGTTGTTGTCTAATTGTTCTACTGAGAGAAGTGTGGTAAGATCTTCAAGTTAGATTATATTTGTCTCCTTTTTTTTTTTTCTTTTGTTACCAGGGATACTTAGCCACTGAACCCCATCCCCATACTTTTCTTTCTTTTTCTTTTTCTTTTTCTTTTTTTTTTTTTTTGCATTTTGTTTTGAATGAGTCTCACTGAGTTGCTTAGGATCTTGCTAAATTGCTGAAGCTGGCTTTTTTGAATTTGAGATTCTCGTGCCTCAGCCTCCTGAGCCTAAGATGTGCATGATATTAAATTCATTATCCTTTTTTTTTGTTTTGCAAATTTTTCTTGAGATATTTTGAGACTATGTACATACAAATCTAGGATTGTTAAATCATCATAATGGACTGACCCATCATTATGAAATATATTCCTTCATTTTCTATTTCTCTCAGTGCATTTTACCATAAAGTGGAAGTTGCCTGATATTAGCTTTGCAAACCATCTTCCTTTTGGTTGACTTTGCATGGTATGTATTTTGTAATCTTTAACTTCTTTCAATCTGTGTGAAACCTTTTATAGTGTATCTTCATAAGTGATTTTTTAGTGTACTCAGAAATCTTTGTCTTTTAATTGGATTATTTATTCCATTACATATAATTACTGATATATTTGGTTTAAATATACTATCTTGCTATTTGTTTTCTATTCATGTTCTTTGTTGAGAGAGAGAGAGAGAGAGAATTTTTTAATATTTATTTTTCAGTTTTTGGCGGACACAACATCTTTATTTTATATGGTGCTGAGGATCGAACCCAGCACCCCACGCATGCCAGGCGATGGCATTACCGCTTGAGCCACATCCCCAGCCTTCTTTGTTCTTTATCTGTTTCAACTTTCCCTTTTTAAAAATAAACCAAGTACTTTTTATTATTCCATTCAACCTCATCATATTGTATCGTTTATCTTTTTATATATTACTGTTTTTATTTTTCTTTAATTGGTTACCCTTAAAATTGCATTTTTCATTCTCAAATTACTGTTTACCACAAACCAGTATTTACACTACTTTCCAAACATTATAAGGAGGATACAGCATTTTAACCACATTCACCCTGCACTGGGTATTACAGTTACTAAAATAATAATATTTTCTTCTGCTCTTTATTCTTTCCTGCAGATTCATATTTCAATCTAGGATCCTTTCTCTGCAGCCTAAAGAACTTCCTACAATATTTTTTCTAGTTCAAGTGTATCATTGACATTGTTTCAGCTATTATTTGTTAGGAAATGTATTTGAACTTTAATTTTGATAGAATTTTTTTTGTGTGTGTTTAGACGTCTAGGTTGACTTTCCCACCCACTCTCAATTTTGTACTTTAATGATATTCTCCCATTGTCTTCTGTCTTCCATAGTTTCAACCAAAAGTTTTGTGTTTTAAAGTCTTATTGTTGGTTCTTTGAAGGTTATATATTTGTTTTCCTAGGCTGCCATAAAGGTTTACCTTTCACTTTAGATTTCAACAATCTAATTATAGTGTGTCTATGTGAGCTTGTTGCTGTTTTATTTTGGCATTAATTCTGGTTGGGGTTTGTTGAGTATCTTGAATCTATAGGTTAATGTCTTTCATCAAGGTAATTAATAGTTGAAAAACTATAAGTGTTATGTCTTCAACTATTTCTTCATCTTTTATTTTCACAGGCCAACTCTATGTATGTTGTAGTGTTTAATCCCAGATGTTCATTACCACTCTGTTCTGCTTTTTCTGTATTTTATTCTCTCTAAAATTGTGTTTGATTTTAGAGAGAATACTATCAGATATTGACTTTTCCCAAGTCTCACTAATCCTGGCTTATTCTGATCCTAGTCTACCATTAAACCCATACAACTTTTATTTTCTATTTTGTAAATTCCCATTTTATGATGTTTTATAGAATCTAATTTTCTGTTGAAATTCTCTGTATTTTCCTTTGATTTTCTTTACTATATTTATAATAACATCCTTAAAGTTTTAGATTGCTCCCTTGAATATCTGGATCATCTGTTGACTTAATGTCTTTTTTCTCCCCAGTTCTGGGAATTGAACTGAGGGTTTTGCACATGCTAGGCAAGCACTCTACCACTAAGCTACATCTCCAGCTGTAAAACTGAATCCCCCCACACACAGGAAAAGAATTTATATCTTCTATTAATTATATTGAGTAAGGAGCAAATCACCCCCAAAGCAATCAGGATTTGAATTGTTTCACTGCTAGTTTGCAGTTTTACTTAGACTCAGTCTACCTGTTTTCAGATCTTTTGAAGGTGGATACCTTTGTTTCAAGCCCCACCTCTGCAGAGTACAGTATCCTAAATGCATCTTTGGCTCTCTTCTCTGTTGACTCTCTGCTCCTTGGGTAATACCTAGGCTTTGATGGCCTTATTTTTTTATATCTTTATTTTTTAGTTATAGGTGGACACAATACCTTCATTTTATTTTTATGTGGTGCTGAGGATTGAACCCCATGCATGCTAGAGGAGCGCTTTACCTCTGAGCCACAACCCCAGCCCCTGATGGCCTTAATTTCAATCTTTTGCTTTTGGTTTCCAGATCTATATCTCTAGCCTTCACCTCTTCCAGCAGAACACAAAGGGCACATTCCAACAGGTTATTTAAGGAAAGTTTAGTAAAGGGAATATATACAAAGGTGTAGGCAGAATTAAGGGAAATTAAAAGATATGGTGAAACTCCCTTGGGATACCAACAGGTGGAAACTATTACCACTCCTGGGCCTGAAGGGGCAAAGGGAAGGAGCAGTTACTGGACCTAAATAGAAGTTGTATTGAGCTTATTACTGTGGTATACACCTATAATCCCAGTGATTCAAGAGGCTTAGGCAGGAGAATTGCAATTTGAGCCTCAGCAAATAAGCAAGACCCTGTTTCAAAATAAAATGAAAAGGGCTGGAAATATGACTCAACGGTAAAGCACTGAGTTCAATCCCCAGGACCAAAAACAAAAGAGTAACTATGTTAGTGAGTTGTATCTTTTGGCAGTGAGATCCCACTAACCTATATGACCTTGTAGAGAAGAAGCCAGAGGAATAAATCTTACCCTTATTCCTTTCTTTTATCTGTCAGAACCCTTCCCACTGGGGGAAAAATATTGTCAAGGGTGACAGTTGATGTAGTTCATAAAGGCCACCCTTTGGGACTCAGAAGGGTAAGAGTTGGTCTGGAATGGTCAAATAGAAGCATAATTGGATACAGTAGGGCATGAAGTAGAGTAGAAAGGAGCCTTGTGAACCAGATGCTAAATTCAAGATCATGGAGAAAAGTGACAAAGAAGGGTTAGCAAGTTATAGCAAAATGACAGTGATGTTAACAGCAAGAGTCAGGATCAGGTTTGTGTTTCATGGAGTACGAGGATGAACAGCATGAATGCCAAGGTAAGCCAGGGAGCAGGAATCTTTATTAAAAGGAAGGTGAAAGACTCAGAAATCCTGATGCAGCTTGTTTGGGAGGGGCAAGAGTGCTGTGTAAGTCTTCCTTCTTTTAAAGGCACAAAAGAAGAAGTTGATCAGCTTCTCTTGATTGGTTTTTGATGTTTCAATTATACCATAGCAGGCACAGGCCAGATTATGAAGTTGCTCTTCTGAGATGGAAACATGCCTTTTGAGAAATGGGAACTGTTTCATAACATGTCTGGGCATGTTAAAATGGCTTTTCTTATGATCACCCTGTTGTCAACCTTTATTGTCCCTTACCTTCTCTCAACTGCCTATTCTTTTCTATCTCAGTGGTAGAGTGTTACATGTACATACAACTTCAAAAGGAATATTTTCATGTGAGATTGCAGAATAGCTGTCTGGAACAGGCATTGAGCTGGTGAAATTATATGGACATTAGAAAATGTGGAGGAATAGAAGAATAAATACCATCCATTTGAAAGAAGTACAAATGAAGAACCAGGCATCAGTCAAGGTCAGGTGCCAGTCAAGACCACCACAGAGTAAAGGAAACTTTCAACAATGGTATTTGTTTACTACTGTTTTATAGGGCTACTTGGAAGATAGTAGAAAGGGACAGGAAAACTGAACACAATGGGGATTGAACAGACACTTAATGGTATTCAATTGTTGTTGGTTCTTTGGTACTATTCACCCCACACCAGGGGAAACTGAATCAGTCGGTATTTTTGACTTTAGTAACTAAGGAGTGTGTTGTTAGCAGCATTTAAGATTGAGGAACTAGGAACACACAATTGTTCTTACCCAAAATGTTAATAATATCTCCCATTGATGACTGGAGGGGTTTATTTTTTACATCACTAAGGATTACAGAAACATGGCACTTAGTGTTAGTATCTACTCTTGATGATCCAAGGAGTGCAATGTCACATTACATGTGGCTTATGGTACCTACAGAGGGAAGTGGTGATTGCCTTGGGTAGGGACTCAGCAGTTTGGACTCCATATAGCTGTTGAGGGGAAGATCCCCCTATTAATGGATTATTTAAAAAAAGTAAATAAACTCCCTCACTTGTATCTAAATTTTTAATATTCATTATAAGTAGGGTTAAAGAATAGGCTTGAATTATAGACTGGCTTCTCAGCACCCTAACAAGGAAATATGTATAATCAATGCTATGCAAACCTTGAAATTTTTCTTAGAAACATTTCTAATTGATCTAGTTCATGTTGGAGTCATAGGTTAATCAGTGAGTTTTTAAGTGGGAAGGAACCTCAAAGACCACTTTAAATTCAATGTCATGGTTCTCAGTACTTCAGTGTAGAAATACAAAGTGTACTTTGATTTTTGACATTAATGCTATGCAAATAAATGACTGAATACTTGAAATTTGATTTTAACTACAATTATAACCTTTAGAGATAAGTTTAAAAATGGACCAAAGTGTAACTAAGTAAAATGGGCAACTGGTACTTCAACTCCCAAAGCATTTATAAGGAAAATTTTTTACTTTGCAACTTTCAGTCTTAGAGAAAAGACTTCATCATCTTATAAGTGATGCAACTTTCTGGGTAACTGACATCTTCAAAGAATTTGACTGGACTCTCCTTTTCTTGAAAATGAATAGACATTTTCTTGCTCTCCACACTCATGAGCTTCACGGACAGTGGGCCCAAGTTTACAAAATCCTATGGTGAAGAAACACAAGAGGAGTGGTTATCTAGCAAGTTAATGTTGAAAGATTACGTTTTCTATGTTATAGTTGGCCTTTAACTGGCAGATTCCATAGCCCTCTGCATTATTACCTGAATGCTGTGTAACACATGAAATATGAAATCCATTATATAAAAAGAAAACTCAATAAAAAACACTTTGTAAGTTTATATGCCAGGTAGGGCATAGTAGGTAAGTATCCTAAAAATCAAAAGCAAGGCTGGTTTCTTGTCTCATAGGGAATTGAGGTAGGTGGGATACTGGCTAGAGGGGAAATCCACTGCAGGCTTTTAATTGGAAAAAGAGTGTTGGCCCTATATGCATAGCCCTCAACTGGCTAGGATATAGCCACAACAAACTTTTCTGTATTATTCAAGAACCAAGGGGAAGTTTCTGCAAATAATATTTTAAATATCCTAATATTGGACAACTTTTCACATTCTTCACTGTTTTCCTGGGATATTTGGATAAATATAAATAAATTTATATTTATTAAATATAAATATATTTATATTTTCATATAAATAAAACCACATTTTGCCAAATTGGTCTAAGATGTCAATAAGCAGAATTAGAAAACTAGTTTATATGACATTCCATAGCTAACCCCAAACTCGGTTGAACCAGCTCAGGTACTAGCCAACATTCTTTCCTCTTGGAAACCTCCCAACCCGTAACCCTTGCTTTTGAATTCCTTTAACACTTCAGCAAACCTTTCCTGAGTGTCCATGTATCCAGTGCTGGGTTGCAATAACAAGCACATAGACCCGTCAGAGACACAGATACAGGAGATACATTTCCTCTCGTGTGGTAATTGTTGGTATTCTTATTTGTCTTCTATGAACCTCTAAGCAATTTGGGGGTTGTGCCTACTATACAGGCATCTTTGAGACTTTATTTTCCTGTTCTCCCGCTTAAATTTCCAAGCATCTAACAAGTACCTGGCATGAAATGAGGTTCTCAATATTTATTTGAATTAAGGTTGAATGAAAAAAAGAAAGCAGTGTTTATTTCTCAAAAATGAGTAGAGTTGTATTTAGTTTTCAAAATATATAATTATAGAGCTAAGATAAATGTAAGATAGGAGGTCTACATGTTGCATACAGTGGCCGTGGCAGTTTGTATGTACCACAAACTCATGAACAGTAAGAATGCCTTTGGGGCTGGGGTTGTAGCTCAGTGACTGAGTGCTTCCCTCGCATATGTGAGGCACTGGGTTTGATCTGCACCACACATTAAAAAATAAATAAAAGATATTGTATCTATCTATAACTAAAAAAATATATTGTAAAAAAAATTTAAAAGAATGCCTTTGGAATTCTTTTTTGCCCCCCTATGCTGGGGATTGAGCCCAGGACCTTGTGCATAGTAGGTAAGCACTACCACTGAGCCATATCGCCAGCCACAAGCCCCAATTTGGGGATTGTATAGACAATTGTCCTCTAGCCTGAGATCATCATGATATACCAGAGTTCATGATTTCAAGGTCCACATGGAGAAATTTGAATGGTAGACTAAACCATTAATCTTTTTGATGGTGCTGGGAATCAAACCTAGGACCTAAAGCATGTGAGGCAAGTATTCTACCACCAAGCTGTTTCCTAAGCCCCTGAATTTTAGTCTTTAAATGATCACTTGGTGGTAGCAGGACTGAATTGTAATTACTTAAAATAATGATTTATTTCATTTCTTCTGCTTTTATGCATCCTTCTTTCTCCTACCAGACTTTAAATTCCAGAAGAACTTTTAAATTTTTGGTGGGACCAAGGAGGAAAATAGCAACAAATGAACATGGGGGTAACCAGAATATACCAAAAAGAGAACTTCAAATAAAAAGCCTTTATAATCTAGGCTTCAACTGATGGTATATGTGAAAGTTTGTGCTTTCCAAAGATGCCTAATATATGTCCTACCCTACATGCTGTTCCTACAATGTGATGGTAACCCTCCCCCATGAAGATGTAACAGCTATGTTCCTTCTCCTTGATTGGAACATACATCAAGCAATAGAATATGATGGAAATGATAGTTTAGGATTTTCAAGGCTAAGTCATATAAAACATTGCAGGTTTTATCTTATGCTCATTGTAGGAGAAACCAAACATCATAACAAAGGGATACTCGCACCCACTGGAGAGGCCCTTATTCAGAGGAACTAAGATGCCCAGTATATCCAGCATCAACTTGTCAGCCATGTAAGTAATCCACCTCAGAAATGGATACTTCAGCCCTACCAACCCTTCAGCTTACTGTAGCCCTAGCTGACCATGTACAACTGCCCAAGGGCCCAAGTGAGAATTATCCAGAAATGTACTTCCTGAATTCCTAACCAACAGAAACCCCAAAAGAGAATAAATATAGTTTTAAACTGGTAGGTTTGGGAATAATTCGTTATGCAACATTAGATAACTTACATTGTATTCTAGTAATGGAAGTCTATAAATGAATATATGTAAGCAAGTTGGCCAAGGGTAGGAGCAAAAATAATATCCGATGAGAAATGTGAATGATGGGCCAGTTAGTAAGAATTGCAAATAGGATTCATTATACATGGTTTAAGTTAATTTTCTCAGTTAATAAAACAGCTTTCTCCTAGTAGTCAAAGTTGTGTTCTCATGAATCTTACCTTGAAATCCTGCTCATCTTCATATAGTAAATATTTCACATGAGAGTCTCCAAACTCTGTGCATAAGGTGTCCTCTTCCCTTATCTTTAGATGCTGGTCATCTCTGATACTATCTTCATGACTGAGATGGAGAAGACTGCTCCCAAATGATGAGCTCAGCATGTCTCCACTTTCTGTGGGTTGCTTTTTTGTCTTGTCTTCTAGGATGAATGCAAATAAATTACTTTATTTGACAAAAGCAAAATTATGACAAAGCAATACATCCTTTGTCACATTTTTAATTTGAAAGAGATTTGAGGATTATAAATGGAAAAATTATGGATTAAAGTAAGGTAGGGCATTTTAAGGAACTCTTAAATTGTAATCCCTTCTGTTAGCTAATAAGTTACAGTGATCATTTGGAAATCTGTAGGTTGGCTAAATTGGGAACTATGTCAATGTAGGTAATACCCCCTCACTGTTCATTACCATCTATTTAAGTCATTATGAAACATGGTGAATTTGATTAGAAAGTGCCATGAGAGAGAGGAGACAGATTAGTTCAAGCATTACAAGGAGAGAAATCCAGAGGAGCTGGCCTGTATCTATTCCCTGAATAGCTCTTTTTTGTGTGTAAGTTGCTGCCTGTAATATATGTTTAATAGCTATTTATCTAATTAAAAGAAAAACATGTAAACACCATTGTGACAAAATAATACCTATAAATGGTTCTGCAAATTCCAAAGGCTTTTCTTCAGGTGACAATTCCTGCCCAGTTGCTTGAGTAAGATACAGTCGCCTAAAAGAATAAACAAGAAAAACAGTCTTTCAGTCAGTAAATATTGTATTATGTGCTCACTAGTATCCATTTCTCTCCTGGGTGCTGGAGACACACATAAAATAAACAGAGGTATAGGGCACAGTGGGTGATATATAGTCCTACAGTATTTTAGAATAATTGTTTGTACCAAGATGGGTCATTGGCATAGTGTGAGAATGCTGGCGAGCAGAAAGACTGAAACAGCATCTGAGTTAGCCTTAGGGGATAGGGAAGGTTTCCTGGAGGAGATAAAACCTCAGCTGAGTCTTGAAGAACCAGAAGTTCACCAGGGAAGAGCTGGGAGTGAGGGAAGAGCATTCTAAGATAGGGAAATAGCATATTTAAAGTTTCAGAAAAAAGAATAAACATGACACCAGTTAGGTTGCTGTTGTTGTAATTCAGGTGAGGAATGACAGTGGCCTGAATGGGATGGATTTGAGATGAAGAGAACCATTAGAACCCAAGATGCCATCTAGGTCCCGGCTTTCCCTGAGTTACATGTTTTGGCTACAAGCCCAGCGAATTGAACTATCAAGTGTTGCTGCCCTATAGTGGTACAGAAGTGACAATAAAAATAATTGTTAAGAGAGAGAAGCTATATTTATAAAGGTTATGATATTTAGTAAGGTCTTAATTATTTTAAATGGTAAAGTCAGGAAACAATTCTATAGCCTCAGACATATCTGCCTATAGGTCGGAGCCAAATGTGAAATCAATCTACTAAATTGTCTTTATGTTTTAAATATGTACACATTGTATGTAACAGTATTTGCTGGGGCCATAAGTGTCTGGATGACACTTTATTTATGTTCTTTAATTGAAAGCCCCTAATTTAAGGGATTTACTTTAGTTGCTGTGATGTAAGCATAAGGGATTTGTACATCTGCCAGGGTCTCATTGCCTCATGCTCTTTTCAGGCAAATCTCATGGAAATGCCATATAGAGCTTTCAAGGAATCATATTTTCTTATTGGAAATTCAGGGGGCATTCTGAAAAGGAGAGCACAGAGAGGTGCAGCAGCATATGCTCATCAATTCATTGATTTCATCTTTTCCAACTTAGAAGCAAGACTTAGAAGCAAGAATTCCATGTTTCTCACTAAAGAAAACAAATCCCTAATACATTGGTGAACAATGTGGATTATACTAAAGATTTTCATGGAGAAGACAGAGAATAGGGTTAAATTGTACATTACACAGCAAAAAAAGTTAATGAAAATCCACATTAAATGTTTCACATCTGAACTTTTAACGTAGGTCAGTGGTAGAGCACTTGGCCTAGCATGTGCAAAGAAAGCCCTGGGTTTGAGCTCCAGCACTGAAAAGAAAAGAAAAGAAAAGAAAAGAAAACATATCCCTTTCTGTCCTTGCCAAGTCCTCTGTGGTCAATGAAAGAATTCTGTCTGTTATGATTATTACTAACTTCATATCAATGTCAGCACCAAATCAAATATACTAAACTAGGTTTACTGAAGCAGAAAAGTGGAGCTGGCCATTTAGAAGGTAGCTCCCTCCTAAGGTTGGCCAATTCAGAAAACAGGAAAGTTGACAACAGGTCTAACAGTGGTTAGAAGCCACACACTTGCAATAGATGGCAGAGATTAGAACTGATCACAAAGAAGGCAGCAAGCAGCAGCAGCAAAGGATTAAAGGAAGGACAGGAATATTGAGCTAAGAGACCTGATTACAGAAGCATTGCCTACTGGAGAGCAGACAGGCACTATTTACCCCTTAGGGGCTCTCCAGGGCATCAGTGCAAGAGACTGGAAGTACTAATCAATTCATTCAGCCTCACCATCTACATCATCTACATTGGTATCTACTCTTCCAGGAGCAGCAAACAATTGTGGAAGGGAGGCAGGTGGCTTCTTCTCTATCTTCTCCTATACAGCTTTCAGCCTTTAAAGGAATTACACTATCTCCCAATTTCTTTAATCTTATATCCATATACCCATAGCTTAGCCCGGAAAATAAGGAACCCACAACTTGCCTGTATCTACCTTTCTTGGAACACAATAGGAAGTTTGTAATAACAAATATTTCATCATGTATCAGACGGTATTTTTTCCATGTCACACAGCATTGGGAAATACTTGGGAGAAAATTTTTTCCTTGGCTTTCCTATTGTATTCAGCTTAATGTCAAATTCCTAGATCTAAATATTTATTTCCCATACTCACACATGTACACCCATTTATGTGATTTTCCCTCTCTTCCTAAAAATGCTACAATTCAGATTACTTCTTGTTTCTGACTATCCAAATAATAAAAGAATAAAAGTTACTTTTGATTTTAATTTCATATTCCAGGGTCTCTTTTTTTGGTCAGGTAAGAAAAATTGCTAACTTAAAACACTAACTATATATATTATATACATACATACATACATACATATATATATTTGGTTTCTCTGGTACAAGAACAAATGTGACTTGGAATGCTAGTCTGTTTTCTTCACTTCCAAAGTAGTTTGACTATTTTGTCAGAGGAAATAATTCTGAGATAACCAGAAGGCCAGAACACTTCCAAAAAGCTTCGAGAAAGTTGGTTTTCCCCTCACCCCTCTCTGTGCTAACCCTACACCTCATACATTTTCTGCTGCTCTGTTTAATTCTACCTTTAATTCTTGACCATTTTTGTGGCTGTGTAGGCTTCTGAAGGTTGACAGTTGTGATATTCATGGTTGTGTTATTGTGACTATAATGCATTGGTAGAAAAAATAAGTCAAAGTTTACACTGTACCAATCAATGGTCAATAGTGATAATCCTATACCCTCATTGTGGCCATTTTGTGAGTTCTTCTCTTTTTGATTATTGCAATCTGACTGAAGCACTGAAAATTAAAATTATCTTTTAAAAAAACAGAACTTTTTTACAGATGACAAATGTTTACCAAATGTTTACTTTCTAGATATGATAATGACTTTCACCTGGGTATTTTAAGATCCACAAGTCTACAGTTGAACAGTTGATCAATAAGCACCAAATTTTCTTCTTCCAGTTCTTGAATAATATTTTCTAATTCTTCAACTTCCTTCCTGTGAATTGCAATCTGTTGTCAGAAGAAGAGAATGGGTATTGGTACTTATTGATTTAGATCTATAAGGATTTCTATAGCAAATTTAATTCCTGAAAGTGCATGTGCCCAAGGAGTAGCTCTATCAGGTATTATTTATTGCTGGGTTTGCTTTATCCTTCCTCTGTAAGAAGGAATAGGTAGGACTCTTTTCTAGATCATTATCAGAAACTGTTTCATTGTTAGGTAGCTCTTACAGGAAGCAGAATTTGTTCTTTTCTTCCTTTAGAAATACTGCTGAATTTATATAAGAGCTAGAGGCAGAGATTAATAAGAAAAGAAGACTAGATGAAAATCTATCTAAGGGTAATTATAAACAATACAATGAAAACACTGGAGGGAAATGCTATATTATAGTATTAAAAAAAAAAAGATGAAGAAGCACAGACCTTTCTATTAGACCCCATAAAACAATTATGTTCTAAGTGCTGGGGTAGTTCTGGAAAATGGCAGGTAGATGAAATACTATTTGTTAATTCATTCATTCAATTTTTTATATGCCTACTATGTGCCAAAAACAATATTATGCTTTGGAAACAAATGAACAACAAGATAACAATAGCTTTCTTAGGATCTCTTAGCCTAGTGAGAAAATGGAGATAAAAATAGAAATCAATGTGATAAAACCATAATGGAAGCTGTCCTGCTGCTGTGGGAGGAGAGAGAGATGAACACTATTTCTGTCAGGTGTCCAGATAGGGAGAATTCATAGAAGAGATAATATCTAATCCCGATCTTGAAAGCCGAGTAGAGATCCCTCAGGCAGATGCAAGAAGTTGCTTTCTAGGTAGAAGGAACAACATATGCAAAGACACAGTTATTTTGATGTGGATACATGCAAAGTGGCAGCAGAGAGAAGCAGGAGAGGAAGTGGACAATCAGGGTCAAATAAAGCTATTGAGCCTGGGTTTTATCCTCTAGGTGATGGCAGGTAATGCTAGACACACCAAGCTTAGTTAATGTTTACTGAAGAAATAAAATATGAATAAAAGTTGGCAGTTCTGTTGATTGAGTTTTCATCAGTCCTTAAGAAGTATATTTTGGTAAATTTTGACTAAAGAAGGCTTGATAATGGTAAGAATATATCAAGGAGTGTTATTAGATAGAACCCCCAACTCACATCTCTGCCACTGAAAGCAGTTTGAGCAATATAGAAGAAGACCTATAGCAATATAAGTCTTCATGGGGAAGGATCAGAAAGATAGAAGAATTAGAACTAAGAGTATACAATAGAAAGTGGTAGGCTGATGAGGATAGTAGGAGGACAAATAGGAGACAGTAATGCAAGTTTGAGGGAATGAGTCGAAACAATGAAGGTGCAGAATTTAGATTCACTATTTCTTGTCAAAAGTTGCAGAGAATAGAACTCAGATGAGTACATGGAAGAAAATAACTAACACATTCTGCTTTGTCACTGGCATCTAATTGTATTTTAAAATCTTGAAGCATTTGATATATTTCCACATGCATAGTTCTATCACTCAAGTCATTTATTAAATATATAAAATCTTGTGTAGACAAGATTCTGAGCTATAAGTAGAAAGATACAAAGGTGAGTAAGTCATGTCTCCTTCCCTCAAGACAGTTTATAATCCCATAAACAAAATCACAAATAGTTATAAAGTAATACCAGTGTCACAGAAAAGGCTCAAACACTGTTGGTGGCTTTGAGTTAAAAAGAAAAGCATATGTTATTTCCTGCATAAAACAATTTAGCAAAATCATTTAAATTCATAATACAAAATTACAAAGCCAGAGGTTGGTATTCAAGGATCTCATATGTTGAGAAATAATTAACTTGATTATAAGCTTGAATGCATTAAGGAGAAGTTTATGATTTTCAAATGTCAAAGAATAAGAAACAAATTAGAGTTAGAGGTTGTAAGCAGAGAAAAATACTAGAACATTTGGAAATGTTTGACCTAAGGGCTTGGCATGTTTGGGAGGTAACACACATAGTTCTGGTCTCTTTCCAAAGTTGGGAATGAGATCCTTTTTGGAGAGTTACATCCAGCTTTTCAGGCTAAAGATATCCACAATATCATCTTCCCCTTTAAAGTTCTCATCAATTGCTGTCTCCCTCTCTGCCTTTTAAAATATTAGGAAAATTTAAACTGGTTCCTCTTCACAGTCATATAAGTACCTTTAGATTTCTGGGATAAGACAGTAAAAAGGAGGAAAAAGTGAAATACTACTTGTCCCCAAATACCTAAGAAATGTAAATAGAAATTAGAAATCAAGAAAGATAATTTAGTTAAAATTATTATATAAGTCAGGGACCTAGAAGATCTACTTAAGCTGATGTCTCTTCATACTTGACATTCTGATTGCTAACTTCCTAGAATTCCTCTGTCTCGTTTCTCTGGCTTTTCATTTGTTAAATTAGTCCAAGTTGTTAGAAAATTCCAATTCTCATTTTCCTCTTAAGTATGTTAAATAAAGGAAGATAATGAAAATCGTGCAATAGAGCATCTCTGTATCCTTCTCAGAGATCTAAGGTTTTGGTTATTGTTGGAAAAATAGTTAACTGGAAAAATGTTTCCAGAAGTTCCATTATTAAATATCCTTTGTTACTCATTCTAAACTTTCCTCAAAGAAATTTACATACATTTTGTTCTGTTTCCAGTTTTTAATTCTTATGATAATATTTATAACTGGAAATAGTTTTAATTAATCTTTTGAATAAATTTAATAATACTAAAATGAGTAATTATTGAACTAATGAGAAATTAAATCTATTGAATTGTCTTATAATGATTTGTCCTTTATTACCAACCTCTTTTTGTTGGTGATTCAATTAAACTTGATATTTTTCTCTTTTATTTCCATTGAATTTTGAAAAGGAAAAAATATTTAAAAAGTAAAACAAAATTTGTGACTTTAGCAGAAAGAGCCAAGGCACCAATCCTTTCTTATCAATAAATTTTGTAGTAATTTTCCCTAAGCCTAAAATCTATAACATCTTATGAGTTGCATAATTATTATTATAGGATCATGCTGTTATATTTTAAAAAATTGTAAGAACTAAATTTATCCCTAATATATTCTTTAATTATTAAGCCCACCTTGATTTATTTTTAAATTATTGATACCTTGCTTTAAACTGGAGAGTTATCCTGATGAGTTTTTGGGGATAGTATGAATTTCTATACACCACAATTTTATCTTTGTTTTATTTACTTATTTACTTGGTTACTAGGGATTGAACCACTGGATTACATCCCTAGTCCTTTTTATTTTTTATTTTGAAACATGATCTTGCTAAGTTCCCCAGGATATTCTTGAACTTGGTTCAATCTAAACCAATCTCCTGCCTCGGCTTTCTGAGTAGCTAGGATTAGGCATGTGCCCGCACACCTGACTCACCATGACTTTATAAAGGAATTTTAAAGATAGGTGTAAGTACTATAGAAAGCATATAAATTGTTTTAATTCCTTGTTTCCTAGACTCACTAACTACCTGGTGAAATAGAGGATAAGGAAAAGGAAAGAGGAGAAGCTGACAGATGGTAGAAAAGGAAACATAGAAAAAGAAAATTTAAGGATGAATTTAGTAAGTCCTGCCATGGGTATGTTGAATTTGAAAGGCCTTTGGAATATCTACCTGGGAATATTTGGCAGACAAATACAAATGTGGGTTCAGAGCTGAGAGTACACATAAGTTAGTGCTGAAGATATACATTCAAGAATCACGAAAGATTAGCTCACTAAAACCTGTTGTGTAGTTTGAAGTGAATTTTCTCAAAAAGTACTGATTTTGGTTTTATAGACAATTAAACACAGGCTTGGTGGTTACCTTGTATGTAAAGGAAATTTCAGGGAACAGAAGGGCTAATGAAGCCCAAGTTACCACCATCTCCAGAATCCAGAAACACTCAGGCTGTTCAAGAGTTCAGTGAATCTGTTACCCACAAGGTAGAGTCTAACCTGACTATATGCAAAGCAGGGCCTGACTGATTTCTGGAGAACATGCTTCCTGGCACCTCTGAACTGACTAGAGAACCTGTAATGGAGTGTTTTTAAGCAGAAGACTGACACAATCAGGTTTATGTTTTAGAAAGGTATCTCTAGGGTAGTGTGAAGAAGAAAGGGGAAGTGTCTAGTCCAGAGGGAAGAAAATCAGGTAAGATGCAATTGAAAGATCTGTGTAAAAGATAATGGATCTGTACTAGGGCAATGGAAAAAAAGGAAAGGCAAGGTGGTCACAAACCTGACCTGCTGGAATGAAGAGGCATTCTGCATATGGGAAGAGAAGAGGACATTTCTAAGGCACTCCCAAGTTTCTGGCTTGGGTAACTGGATAATGGTGGGAACCTCAACAAGGACAGATAGTATGAAGAGGGTGTTTGTGGCAAGGGGGAAGATGAATTCAATTTAGAGATTGGAGATGTCTGTGATGCATTTAGGTGGAGTTGCACAGCTGGTTGTGGATAATGTGATTTTGGGGCCTAGAAGTGAGAACAGTTTCAATCTGGATGCTTTTTAGGCCTGCAGAACAATTATCTCAAACATTTCTTCTGTGGTGTACTGGGAATTACATTGTTTCCTGTTTTTCTCTTGCTTAGCTTACAGTCTAGTTTTGCCGAAGTACATTGTTTAAGTAAATTCCTGAGGAAGATTGAGAAATAAATATTTTGAGCGCTTGCATTTCTGAAAACAGCTTTATTTTGCCCTTATCTAGCTTAGCTGAGTATAGAATACCAATTTGAAAATAATTTTCCATCTGCACTTTGCCACTGAAAAATCAAATGCCATTTGGTTCTTATTCCTTTGCAGTTAATTTCCTCTCCACCCCTTCAACCTTCTGCCAGAAACCTTTAGGATTTTCCTTTTGTTCTTGATGTTCTGAAAACTCTTGTCCTTTTCAGCACCCAGAAAATTTCTATTATTTCATTCACAATTTTCTTTCCTTTACTTTTTTATTTCTGGAATCGGTCCTTGGATATTGTACATCTTACATTAGTACTCTATGTCTT